CATCAATGGCTTGATGTCAGGATGGCGGTCGGTTTCTAGTGGAGTGTCCCAAGGTTCAGTTCTGGAACCGGTTTTGTTCAATGTCTTTATTAATGACCTGGTTGAGGGGATGGATTGCACCCGCAGCAAGTTTGCAGATGACACTAAGCTGGGGGGAGAGGTAGGCATGTTGGACGGAAGGGTTAGAGTCCAGAGTAACTTAGACCAATTGAACGATTGGGCCACAAGAAATCTGATGAGGTTCATCAAGGACAGCTGTAGAGTCCTGCCCTTGGGACGGAGGAATCCCAAGCACTGTTACAGGCTGGGGACCGACTGGCTAAGCAGCAGTTTGGCAGAAAAAGACCTGGGGATTACAGCGGATGAGAAGCTGGATATGAGTCCACAGTGCGCCTTTGTAGCCAAGAAGACTAATGGCATATTAGGGTGCATTAGGAGGAGCATTGCCTGCAGATCTAGAGAAGTTTATTCATCACTGGTGATGCCACATTTGGAGTATTGCGTCCAATTCTGGGCCCCTCATTACAGAAAGGATGTGGACGCTTGGACAAAGTCCAGCAGAGGGCAATAAAAAAGATTAGGGGGCTAGAGCCCATGACTTACAAGGAGAGGCTGAGGGATTTGGGCTTATTTCGTCTACAGAAGAGAAGAGTGAGGGGGGATTTGATGGCAGTCTTTAACAACCTAATGGGGGTTTCAAAGAGGATGGAGAGAGGCTGTTCTCAGATGGCAGAACAAGGAGCAAGGGTTTCAAGGTACAGTGGAGGAGGTCTAGGTTGAATATTAGGAAAAGCTATTTCCCCAGGAGGGTGGTGAAGCACTGGAATGAGTTACCTAAGGAGGTGGTGGAATCTCCATCCCTAGACGTTTTTATGTCCCAGCTTGACTAAGCCCTGGCTGGGATGGTTTAGTTGGATTTTTGGGCGTAGGGGGTTGGACTCAATGACTTCCTGAGGTCTCTTTCAACCCAATGATTCTATGTTTGACAACCTGGAGTCCAAGGCAGGTAATTAATTTATCTCTTTGTGGGAAGGACTTGCATGGAATGGTCATATCTTTTTCTCATGGGTAAGGTGTTATAGGACTGTCATATCTTCAAAGACAACCAGGATGCCTCTGAGGTAGTGGAAATAGAGAGTTATCAAAAACAGGTGGCACCTGTCTTTCCCCCTGTTTCTGTATAACTTTTGCAGGTTTGGGGGGTTGGGTTATTTTTAACACTGGCTTTTACTGTGGTATTAGCAGGGGGATGCTTCAGGCAAGTCATCTGAGGTGCCAGAGCTAGAGGTACAGGCATTGCTGAACACAGTGACAGACTTGAGGATCCTGCTGTGTATAATTCATCTCCATTAAGCTAAACATACAGGGGAAGGGTGGGGGGTAAGGAAGAAATTGCTTAAAAACACAGAAACAAATGGCATTTTCCTACCAGTCCTCATCAAATTTGCTTGTTAGTTCTGAATCTATACTTTGTGTTCCACTCATGTTCTTTGTCAAGAAAATTGTTACTTGCAACATTTCCTCTCCCCTGGTGGTGTGTGCAGCTGTCGGGAAACCTCTGAACTTTGTCTGGGGGGCTGAGGCGACCAGCAGAGGAACTCCTACAGGAAGTAATGGTGTCTCAGCAAGAAAAGGGCATGTTAAAGACTCATCAGCTGCCACTGGCGCTCTGAATAGCTTTCCTTTGTCCAGCTGACAACTGGCAGTGTAATGGTACAATCATGTAGCCTTCTGGAACATTTAATCGCGTTACTAGACTCTAGGAGATCTGGACAGGCGTCTCAAGACTGGACTTATGATCTGCACAAGCGAGCTCTTGGGAAGCCAATGGGGAGGCTTTTAAGGTGCCTCTCCACTAGTTCAGCTGTGGAAATGGGAGGTGCTGATTTTGGTCGAGGCTCTGCGTCGGGGCACTAGTGTAGCTCTCTCTGGCGTTGCACGCAGACACTTGTCTGGCTTCACCTCTGACCAGGATGTAGATGCTGCCGCAACTTGCATCTTTTTGAAGAAACAATCCCAGTGTTTTCAGCTCCTGTGATTTCATTCACAGTCTGGTGCTTTCCGAAAGCCCCAGCTCCTGATGTTAACTGATTATGGGAGAATCTCAGCTTCCACTGAAACACACATCCCCTGGGTTTCTAGCCCCATGGCTGTGGAGATAAGATTGAAAACATGCTACAAAATACCCTAATCCCAGAAGACATATAATAAGAACCCCATTTGCTCACGATTCATTGCAAGACTGACATGTGGTGTCTGAATACCAGTAACCTGGGGTTGGGACTATTATTATTATTATTTGCAGGGCGGTAGCACCTCGAAGCCCCATCTTTATGGTGTCAGATGCAGTACGACGAGAGAACAAGACAGCAAAGACTTCCAGAGCTCTTACAATCTACAACAAGAGAGAACAGATGAATGGAATCGTGACCAGGGGAGCATGAGAAAACAATGAGATAATATTGGTCAGCACCACAGACAGTGGTTTGCTTAGGTATGCACAGAGAGGATTCAGGTGGGTTTGTATTCAGGCAGTGAGCCAGAGCTGCTGGCAGGGAGTCCCTCAACTACATGGCTATTTTTAGCATGGTAGCTCCAGCAGACCTTGAATGTCTGTCTACTTGCACTAGGAAGAACAATGAAGAGTCCTGAGGCACCTTAAAGACATAGGGTATGTCTACACTACCCCGCTAGTTCGAACTAACGGGGTAATATAGGCATACCGCACTTGCAAATGAAGCCCGGGATTTGAATTTCCCGGGCTTCATTTGCATAAGCGGGGAGCCGCCATTT